AATTATATAGTCACACAACATAAATTTGAGATCGTCACAAAGTGATAAATGTGATAAAGAGAAATTCCACCATGCTAATTTTGGGCAAATTTTAAAAGTATAGAAGTCACTTTCTGTCCTACATTTTAAAAAATAGCTCTATTAGTTGATAGAATATGTCTTTAGTTTTTAATGTAATAAAGAGATTTTCTCAAAAAAATTATTTGTTGTAGAGTTCCATTCTTTTTTAAAACATGTGCTTTACTATGCTCGCGAGGAATTTGCCCACTATGATCATTTCTAAATTTAGGAATATTACCAAATTTAGACTAGCTTTTGAATATCGTATCTAAATTTGGCGGTAAGAAAACTAAAATCATGTGAAGTCCTATTTTGAACGAATTACAAAATTGCTATATATTTTGAAATTTGGCCTCATGGCGCAGCAATAGGAGGTCTTTAAACCAAGCCAACCATAACAGTGTGTTCGTTCAGCAATGATACCATTAATCAAAACTAAATACATATTCGAATCTTTCATCGCTTCTCTTTACATAGAAAAAGGAGGAAAAATTGTCTGAAAGTTTCTCAATTTAACCCTTTTTCCCTGAAGTAAAGGAAAAGAAAACATAACCTTATGAATTTCTAGAATATCTGCGACATTTGCTCTTGTTGCTGATACGAGATATACACGACCTAATGAAGGTACATTTCTGAACAAATATTGCCTTTGTAGATCCTCAACGATATTATAACACTTTTGAAAAACATGAGGACCATCAGCATAAAAAAGAGATTCAGATAGAGTGGGTGCGATTGCTGGAGTAGCAGAATGAGTAGGTAAAAACTGCCGAACGGATGTTGGATAATTATCACAAATTCCTGTTAAAAAATTAAATTAGAAAAGCCTTTCAAATAAAAGTAATATATTTTTTAAAATCATTTTTAAACATACTAGTAATTATAGTATTTTTTGGGATTCCTCGTTGTAATAAACCATTCCCATTCCATTCTACAACCATTATCCAAGGATCGAGATCATCATCTTCACGTTTTGCTTGGACTATGTTGAACCATTGAGTAACTTCATTGTTCATTTTCTCACTAAAAGCGGAATACATTATTCTTTTTGGTCTATTGTGTTAGATATGTATGAATAAAATTCTTTTGACTTTGCTAATTAAATAGAAATAATAGAAAACAACAATTATACCTGAAGGTCAACCAAGAGAAAGTTTCATATAAAGCCAAGAGAAGAAGAATAATGCAAATAATAGAAATAGTGATGAACGAAAAAATAAAAGTTATTAAAGGAAATTCCTATACAGAAAAGTTCTTTTTATGAAATATACAAAATCTACAGAAAAGGAAATTTAATTGTGGCTTAAATTGTTGTATATAATAATAAGCGTGACATTTAATAGTGATGCGATGGATGATTAAAATTTGTGGTTTGGGGTGGTAGGAATTACAGAGCATTTACCAACTCTAAAAATCTTATTGTCGCGTAGGTTCTGTATAAAAAGAACCTTTCTGTATATATGTTAATTACCCATAATTAAAAAGGGCGAAAAAAATAGCTAACCTTACTTTTTTTTTTGGTTAAGAAGGATATCATCATATATGGCTAATTACTAACGTTCAATATTATAAGCTTAGTAATGTCGCTGGTCAGAATAATAAGATTGTCAATTTATATTATATTATGCGTACATATTAATTATTAATATGTGAAGTGAAATTAGCCAATTAAAAAGGAATTTCTCACCCATATTTGATTGCGCTGCTGCTTCCTTTAATGTGCCACTTCTATTTGAGCGATTATCATGAAACTTTTAGAAAAGTTAAAGCTTTTATATTATATAAATAAGATTATGATTTGTCTATTGAAAACGTGATTTTACATATACATCATCTTGAATTAATGATCAAGAAAGGTTGTATGTATCGATATTGAAATCTATCCCTTTCAATCAGGGCTGGCCATAATTGTCTTGACTTGACATAATCATAATGACTAAACAGTTTGGTCGGTCTAACCAAATGCTCATTTGGTTTACGTGTCAGCCCTGCTTCCAGTAATCTTTATTCTCTCATCTAATGTTCACTTTTCTGTGATGCAAAGAATACAATTATCATCTTTCAAAACTTTCGAACTTCATAATATTATCGAAACGAACAATACACCTGCGAAGAAATAAGATGATTTTGATCTCGTGTCAAAAACATTAAACACGTCACCTGGATCCTTTGTCCTCTTAATGGCTTTTCAGTGATGCTGGAAATCAAATAGCTTCAAAAGAACAAAGGTTAGGATATAAAATTGTCAAAGAAATTTTATTTTTTAATTTAATAAAATAAATTTGTTACGACCGGTTAAAGATTTTATGCAACATCAATCTCTACTTTTAAGCAACTATAACAACTAAACGACGATTACAATTACTTCAACAAATTTTTGAACTAATAATATACCAGGAAAGGCTGCAAAAACGACAACATCTTATAATAAAAATTATCGCAAAAATAGAAAGAAAAAAGGAACACTTTGTTCTCTTCAACTATTTATGTCATAGCAATGGAAGTTTATAATAAAAGACTAATGTTATTGTAATAAATATTATGATAGGGAATAGATATCCTAACAACAACAGCAACAAATACGTACTTTATATTGAAGGTGAGAGGTGGGAGGTGAGGGAGGTGGAGGTGGAATCGGAAGATGATTGTGAGGACGATGACAGTGATAATGAAAATAAATAATCTTTTATTCTTTATAAAAAATAATTTCTAATCATTTGAAGACTGCTAAAAAATTTATGTGAGCTTTTAAAGTTTGTTGATGATTTAAAACATCAAGCATTTTTCTTTAATAAATACATCAGAAATCCCCTATATATATTTTGTCAAATAATCTATGTAGAAAACACGCAAGAGCGTATACTTTACATGTATATTAATTATAACTTAGAAAGATCTTGTTCTCTGTTATTATATGCTCATATGTGTTAAACGAATTCTTATATTTTAGACAATTGATTTAAAGAAAAAAAAATCTTTGCCAAAACTCATTCTTAATCTTTCTATTATGCAGAGATGGATTTGTATTGGGTTCATTACATTAATACCAGCTTTGTCAATTTGTGATTCATTTGAAAGCTAATCAATTGAAATAAAACATCGCATTCAACAATTCTAAAGGCAAAGCCACATTATCAGGTAAAATAATACGTGGTTATGACATTATTTCATTTGTAGAGAAAATATTTCTCCAAAAATATTTGAAATTCCTTAAAGTAGGTGTGAATTAATAAAATGTTAACATAAAACTTACATTCTCTTCATTACTTTCAAAAGATATGTATGGACAATAGAATTTTAATAAAGATAATCTAGATTTAGAGAATTTCTTGAAGCAAGTGATAAATTATGCGATCTGTAAAATAGTTAATTAACAAAATTGACAAAGAAAGCGAATGGATCCAACAAAATCTAGTTTACTTGTATCAACAAATCAATCACTCAAGACCATTGGAATCTGCTGACATGGAAAGAATCGAAAAATCCAAGCTGAATTATGTCTCTTTTTATTAAAAAGGTGCTATATTATTGGAGGTTGCAGGTCAACTTAGCCTTTGCATACCGAGGAAGATGAACAATGTTTTAAATCTTCAAATTCATGGATTTTAATAATCAACCAAACGTTACATGCTGAATTGTTTTTTGGTGTTCGAAATCGTCCAAGAGCAGTTTCCAAGAGAGAAAGATATTTTCCATGGTTACGTTATCTAACATACCAATCGTTTGTATATGTCATGATATGGAATAATTACCATACTATGTGATGTAAACATCATGATAAAACTTTGCCTAACATTACGTTTAGTTATTGTGTATATATATAAAAAAGATATCAATGCAAAGAAAATAACTATAGATCGACGCGTCCCCAAAAAAAATCGTTTTTAAATAAGGGTCGTACAATCCTACACTTCAAAAATCATTTCTCGCGTTTAATTTGGAGAACAAAGATGAATTATAAAGAAAAAGAAAAAAAAGAGAAAAAAGGATTCAAACATTCAGAAGAAAACTTTGCGTGTTTAATTATTATATATAAATTTTAGGGCATTTAATTCTCAACTAATTATATTTAATGTTACATTGAATAGGCGATGGCGATGGTAATGATGATTCGGATAGGACCTTATCAAATTAGGAAATAAAAGCATTCTTACAAATTTTATATGATGAATACGCAAATTCAAACCTGACATATCTGTTAATATTTAGAGTCCTAGTCGATGACAACGACAATGATGATGACAATGACCGGTCACCATTTCAACAATCCCGTTGCCAGTTTTAAATTACATTCCCATTACATTTTTTTGTATCGGATTGAAAATCAAAGTTACATTTGTAGTAAAAAGCACACTAAAAGTCATTGAATACAATGATGCTAATGCTCCACACATGAATCGAAAAACATAAAGATAAATAAAATATTGAGGATTCATTGTACAACATATCTTTCTAACCAAGCCACACATTGATGAAAAGTGATGTTGAGACAGACAGAGATTATTATTATTATTAAATCCAAATATTATTTTTTCACGATAGTAAAAATAAATAAACCAAGTTTCAACAAAATATTGATACTTTTCCACAATCTCTGTTCTCCCATTTTCATCATCACTTTTTTCTATTGTTTCCACAATTTCCTTCTTTATGGTGTGGCGTTAAACAGCATTAAAATCCAACACGTTCAAGTAATTGGGATTATTTATTTTTAATTATACTATTGACCGTTAACCTACAATTAGAGGGTAGTTATAATAATATTCTCATGAAAATTAATAGATCTGCAAATGGGATTATTAATACGAAATTCCATTTTAAATTCGTAGTTGATCACATGCCCCATTTTTTAAGAAACGTGTAATTATTATTATTTTATTTATTATTATTGTTATTTCCGGTTTTTTCCCGAAAAAGATTTTAATTCATTGTCACAAAACCATAATAATAATAGCCATTATCTCCGCAATCGTAAACAGTGGCAATTAGTAATGTCAAAATTATTGGTTAATATTGAAAATCAAATTAACCCTTAAATGTCCAATCATTATATCGCGACTATAACCTTGAAATTTTGATTGGATTGATTAAAAAAAATGTAAATAAATAATTTTCTTTTATATAAGGCTTTGAAATATATTCTACTTTTTAAAAATAAAAATTATAATGGATCAATTTACAAATTCGATTTTTTCAATAAATAACACCAACAACAACGTTATCATTTCATCATCATCAGCAGCAACATCGTCAATTCATAATTTCCTTACTAATTCTGAGGCACAAAACAATAAGTTTCCATTACCAACATCCATATTAAACCAAAAGGTTTTAATATCCATCACAGGACCTCATGGCACTGACATAATTGGATGTGTTTTAGAGTGTATGGCTAAACATGAATGTGAAATTGAAGATTTTACATTATTTAGACTTTATCATAATGTTACATTCAGTGTTCTAACCACCATGAAACATGAGAACGTAGAATTATTTTGTGATCTTTCTGATGCTGCTAGAAAGTGGGATGGTAATTTAACTATTGATTTACAAGGTGTTGCTGATCAAGAAAAACCAATAAAACCATTAGAGGAGGCACCCTATGATAATCGAATCAAATATGCCGCAACGGTATTAAACCAAAATGGACTCACAGCGAAATTTATGGATGAATGGACAAAATTACTATTGAGAGAAAAAATATCTGTAGAAAAAATGCAACGACTAAATGAAGGAAGGTTGTCTTGTGCTGATTATAAGCTTTCAGTACCTTTAGGAACAGACTTTGACAGATTGAGACAAGACCTATTTCAATTAAGTGTAAGCCATGGTACTGATGTTGCACTTCAACCTTTTGATGTATTTAGAAGGCATAAAAGATTGGTAGTGTTTGATATGGATTCTACATTGATTCAACAAGAAGTAATTGATGAAATTGCTAGGATTGCTGGTGTTGTGAATGAAGTAGCAGTATGTTGTGTTTCTTTTGTATAATTAATCATTTTAAAAACACTCTTGTATTAATCACCATCATCACCATCATCATCATCATCATCATCAATAATATTTAAGATGATAACAGAATTGGCGATGAATGGTGAAATTGATTTTAAGGAATCGCTAAAACGACGTGTTTCTTTATTGAAAGGGACACCTGTTGATGTCATAGAAGCTGTCAAGAAAAAAATCATCTTCACAGAAGGAGCACACTTTCTTTGTAAAGCACTCAAAAAAATTGGATTCAAACTTGCCGTTATTTCTGGTTTGTGTTATTATTATTTATTTTTTTTCGTTTATTTATCAAATATTTAATTAAATTTTTGATTTATAAAAAAGGTGGATTTATGCCGTTAGCAAACTATGTAAAGAATGAACTTGGATTAGATTATGCTTTTGCAAACCAAGTATGACATTCTTTAGTTATATTTTTAGAGGTGGTTTTTTATAAAACAAATTAAATTAACAAATAAACTAATTTTAATTAGTTAAAAGTATCATCTGATGGTTTAACATTGACTGGTGAAACAATCGGGCCAATAATTGATGGAGGTCGTAAAGCTGAATTATTGGAAGTGATAGCTCAAGCTGAAAATGTTACATTGGATCAAGTGATTGCTGTTGGTGACGGTGCAAATGATTTATATATGTTGGCTAAAGCTGGTTTAGGCATTGCATTTAATGCAAAACCGCGAGTCCAAGAAAAGGTAAGCTACGTTAACAACAATTACAATGACAATGACAATGGTTATTCTCATTATTTTTAATGCTAAGGTATTAATTTTTGTTATATTTATATTAAAAAACATAGGCTAGAGCTAGAATCAATCAAAAAAGTTTAAAAAATGTGTTATATTTGTTAGGATATACAGATGAAGATGCAAAACAATTGTATTTTACTAATGATTGAAATATAATATAAATTTCTTGTTAATAAATAATCTCTTGTAAATTATATATCAAATTTTATAATTACATCAAATAGGCCAATAAAATTATTGTGAATTTATTTATACAATGCAAAAGATCTACTCAATAACTTGATCCCACAAAGTTAATAATTTCTTAACTTTTGTTTTCAAAATTCAAATTGACAAGATTAACTACTCTCTCAATGTTCTTCTCAATATTGTTAGGATGACTAGGTCTTTGGTAAAAAGTAACAATCGTGGAACTTTGGTAAAAGGCCATGTTTTATTTTTAAGCAAATTTAGGACTAAGGTTAACTCTAATAAAATCGTGATTGTATGCATAAGGTTGTCATATAAAACATTTCACGGAAAATGTACACTGATACGAAACATTCCAGTGAAAGAGCGCTTTTACGCATGTTTTACACGGGATACATATTAATATGGGATTACGAAAACTAATACGGGAAATATAAATTCCGTGAGTTAATATTAATATTAATATTAATGTCAATAATATGGAAGTCATACAGAATTTATCTTTTCCCATAGATCCCATATTAATATCAGATATGTATCCCGTATATTTTCTGTTATGGTAATTCTGGAAATCATACTAATACTAATACTGATACGGAAAAATAGTAAATTCCTGGAATTATATTTCATGGAGCATGATTTCTTGCATATTAAAAAGTCGTTTACTAGTTGCATACAAGCAGGAGCTGTTAAAGACTTTCTGTCAGCTTTTTTAATATAAGAAATATCAGTTGAGACTGTCTCAAAAGATGATCAAGTAAATAGAATCAATGCATTTGTCAGATCAAGACTTTGTACCGAACGAATAAGCGTTGAAGTAACAATATTTTCATTCTGATATTCGCCATTTAAAATTTTTTTCATCTCTGATGATTCGAACTATAGAAGCCATTGACGCAATCAAACATACTTTTGTCATAAACTGGGCTTTTTGGCCAAGTGGTAATATACGTGATATGGTCAAGAGAATGATTATTATTATGTAAATAAATTTTAATTCTTACTTTAACATCAAATAGTAAATTTATATGGAACATGCTGCAACAAAAAGAGCTGTTCTGTTCCTTGTTACGCGACCAAAACTAATTTTTATCGGCTGATCGGGAGAAACAAATTTAGGGTTGGTCCGGTCTCGGTCTCAAAGACCGGTCTTTGGGGACTGGTTAAAAGGCTAACTCAACAGCGTTTTGATGTGAATTACATATTGGGAAGGTAGATTTTTGGAGAACCTCGATTATTTTATGTTTTATGGCCGAGCTCGAGTTAACTTTTTAGTTACGCTCGTCGATTAATTGTAAGTTTTCATGTACAATGTTCGTCGATTAATTTATTTTACGAAATTATCCTGTTTGCTGCCCCTTTCTTGTACCTAGAAAGCTTCGGCGATACCAAAGACCACTGGCGTGTGGAAATATGCCCTTGAGCCAGAATATGGAGAAATTGCAACAAACTACAACTAACGGACAATATTATAAATTTAAACGTGATGGAGATTTAAAGAATTCAAAGAATTCCGATTTGACATTTCCAAAGGTTTCTTCTTCTTGACAAAGTTTACGTGAAAAAAATTGTCCAAGTTGTGTGGTGAAGTGTTTCATTGTGTAGGTCTTGGACTGTCTTCAACAAGAACCAAAAGTGCTAATTTTTGTTAATGTTATTATCAATAATAATAAAAGATTTACTAAAGTGCGTCGTCATTCGGTTTGAGAGCTTTCGACGTTACACGTAATATGATCCAATAAAATTCATTTTCATTTTATCAAAATTTTGTGATACCGACATGGAAGGCGAAATGATGTCATTTTAGGCACTCCCCTAATCTTTGTTGAATGAATAAATAGAAAAACCATTGCGAATCATTTTTTCCCAATTTTTTTTCATTAAAACATCCCTTCTATCACTTTAAATAAAATAAAAAAATTAAAGAAAATGAAATATATCTTGATATCAGGCGGAGTAATTTCTGGTATCGGAAAAGGAATATTTGCCTCTTCTTTAGGATTCTTGTTAAAAACATTTGGATTAAAAGTCACTGCCATAAAAATTGATCCATATATGAATATTGATGCTGGAACAATGAGTCCAATTGAACATGGTCGGTCAACTAATTTGCTAATAATCGTATGAATTTTAAAATTATTAAAATTGTTAAATTAATACATGATAATGATGATCAATTAGGGGAAGTATTTGTATTAAATGATGGCGGTGAGGTTGATCTTGATCTTGGAAATTATGAAAGATTTTTGGATGTAACTTTGACCAGAGATAATACTATCACTGCAGGAAAGGTTTATTTAAGAGTGATTGAAAAAGAGGTTTGAAATATTAAGCATTTATATTATTTTTATTGAAGAAAAAAGGGTATCTACAATGTATTCTAAATTTTAAAATCATTTTTAGAGGATATTCATCATTACTAATAAGCATTGATGTTTTTTTTTTTGCTAAATAGCGTAAAGGAGGATATTTGGGCAAAACTGTTCAAGTGGTAAAGAATATTTAATAATATAATCTATCTATAAACCAATCAATCTATCAAGATATAACATACTTGATATTATAACAACATTATAAGGTTCCACACATAACTGATACTATTCAAGAATGGATTGAAAAAGTTGCCAAGGTTCCTGTGGATCAGACTAATCAAGAACCTGATATATGTATAATTGAAGTAAGTGCATATAATTTATAAAATAGATTATTTGATGATTATTATCATTATTCATTTATTTAACATTAATATTGATAGTTGGGTGGCACTGTTGGCGATATTGAATCTGCTCCTTTTGTGGAAGCAATGAGACAATTTCAATTCAGAGTAGGATCTGAGAATTTTGCTTTAGGTCATGTCTCATTAGTACCTATAATTGGAACGGTTGGCGAGCAAAAATCTAAACCTACACAAACCACAATAAGAGAATTAAGAGCTTTAGGATTATCCCCTGATCTTGTAATATCATGGTTTTTCATTAATTATTGTTTATGGTTATATCAATCAATCAATAAACAGAATTTATTGATTTTTCTGCTTAGATTGCTTGCAGATGCTCAATACCATTAAAGCCAGATGTTAAGAATAAGATTTCAATGTTTTGTCATGTTGGGAAAGATCAAGTATGGAAAAGGATTGAGAAAGAAGAAAAAATTTGATTTTTTATTAAAGTAAAATGATGTTGATATATTGTTTTTTTTTATTTTTTATTTATTTCTAGGTTATTTCAGTTAAAGATGTTGTCTCTATTTATCATGTCCCATCATTATTGAAAGAGCAAGGTGTCTTGGAATTTTTTATTAAAAGATTGGGATTAGATAAAATTCCAATTTCACAAAATCAAAAAAAAGATGTTACACATTAAAAATAGAGTATATTATACAAATATTATTATCATCATTTGTTATTATTGTTTTTTTTTAAAAAAAAAATGAATGAATTAAAATCATTATAGGTATGAGCCTGTTGTCAACATTGTTTTAGTTGGAAAATACACTGATCTACATGATTCATATCATTCGGTCATTAAGTCACTTGAACACTCAGTATTAAAATGTAGAAGAAAATTGGTTTTAAAAGTGAGTTATTAAAAATTTTATTTTATTTTTAATATAAAAAAAAAGTTTTTTTTTTCAAAACAATTTTATTTATTATGGTAACCATATATTAAAAGTTGATTGAAGCTTCTCATTTAGAAGATTCAACAAATCAAACTGTGCCTGATAAATATAAAGAATCTTGGGATACTTTAAAATCTGCTGATGGTATCTTGGTTCCAGGTGGATTTGGTAATCGTGGTATTGAAGGAAAAATTTTGGCAGCCAGATGTGCAAGAGAAAATAAAATTCCTTTTTTGGGTTTGTTTTTTTAAAGAATTACAATACGTACATATATATTTGTTTATAATTAATTATGATATTGATAATAAATTTGATCATAATAGGAATATGTTTAGGTTTACAAATTGCAGTGATTGAATTTGCTAGAAATGTTTGTAATCTTAAATGTATGTACTTGTATTCATATATATGAAAATTATAATTTATTAGATCATAATTATTTGATCAATAAATTCATTTCCTATTTCCTCATAGGTGCGAATTCTGAAGAGTTTGACCCAAAAGCAAAACATCAAGTAGTGATCAATATGCCAGAAATATCTACAACAGAATTTGGAGGTACAATGAGATTAGGTCTGAAGCCTACAATATTTCAGGAAGAAACTAAATCTTGGTCAAAATTACGTAAGTGTTTCCAACCAACCAATTAACTAATTCAAATTCGTTAATACATTATAATTTGACTTTGGTTTTTTTCTTTTATATAGACAAGCTTTATGATAAACAAATCATATTAGAACGCCATAGACACAGATATGAAGTTAATCCTGAATATGTAGCAGAATTAGAATCAAATGGATTGTATTTTGTTGGTAGAGATGAACTAAATAGACGAATGGAAATAATGGAACTTAAAGATCACCCATATTATGTTGGAACGCAATTTCATCCCGAATATCTTAGTAGACCACTTAATCCCTCTCCACCATTCCTTGGTTTTATTCAAGCTTCATCTAAATTGCCTATTTAATTCTGTTACTGTTTTGATTAATAATTCTTTTTTAAAACTTTTGATTTTATATTTATCTATGATTAAAAAAAAAAGACAGCAATTTATCATTAGCAACTTTTGACGAGAAATAATTTATTTTATTATAGTTTAATTGGTAAAAATTTTTTTTAATTCAGTCAATATCAAGCAAGACTAGCAGGAAAACTTCCACATTCATTCTTAAAAAAAGATAAGA